CCTAGTTAAATGAAGGAGTTGCTGGCTCGACCTCTTGTCTCCTGGGAAAACCACAAGCCTTTGTGGGAAAAGGTGAGATCCTTTTTCAACAAAGGGGTTAATTAGTGGCTGATTTTAGACTGTACCTTTCTGGTTATATCCTATATGCACCCATCCCATCCCGCTCCAAAGGGAAGGCTGCCTGTTTTTGAGAGGGAAATCAGTGCAATGAGATTCCCACCTGAAAGAACCAAAGCCTTCGTGTCTGTCAGAAACCCTTTTGAATTGTGACAGCCTAACAAGGAAATTGTCTCCATAAATTTGCCATCATTAGAGTGTGCTATGACTGGTAGATTTGGCTGTTTCTGAGCTCCCAGGCAGTGAACAGAGCTGGAAGCTGGAGTGGTGGGTCATTCCCAGAGGAGATGGCACACGTGTGTCACTTCACACACAGGGCCCCTGGCCTGTGTTTTCCTGCCCTGCAGCTCCCGTGGGCCTCAGTAGGAAGTTTAGTCCCTGGGTGCCCTTCAGCCTTAGATTCTGCTGCTGCACCTGCAGCTTAATTAGTGTTAATTATAACAGCAGTTCAGTAAGAACCGGATTAACCCACTCGCGGGCAATCCAGAAGTTAAAAGGTGGGAAGGATCGGGATATGTGTTGGCTCGGGGAGCCGGTGCCAGGCTCCGGCCCCGTGGAGCTGCGAGAGAGAGGAGCTGCCTCGTTCCCTGGGTGAGCATCAGCTCCTCATTATCACATCAAAGGCCGTGGCAGAGCTCACTCCTCCACACACCGAGCGGGGGAGTTTATTGCGGAAACTTCTTCCCCTTCTCCTTCCCGTTGTCTGCCTCTGTGCCTACTCCCCAAGGTTCGTTTGGATTCGGGGGGATGATTAAGCCCCAAAACACAAAAGGAAGGCGAGACAGAGTGGGTGACTGTCACATCAGGGCTCCCAGAGCCTCAGCTGAAGGCTCAGGGGAGGGGGGAGGTGGAGAAGACAATCTTAGACGCTGTTTCCAGCACTGCCTCTTACAACTCGGTTTTCTTCTGGTGGGATGGTCGGTTAATGGTTGACAAACGGGAAGAGACATCTCTCATTCCAGAGATCAAATTGCACAACGAATTAAAACGCTCCCTGAAGGCACTGCTGCTCCCTCTGCTCTCAACACGAGCAGAGCCTGCAGTGACTGCAGAGCAGGTACCCCCAGCCCTGGGCTCTCAGGGGTCACTGTCCCTTTGGGGAATGAGTTATTTGGGTAATAATGAACCCTAACACTGCTCCTGTGGGTAATGAGTGTCAGGCCAGTCTCTGGTCATCAGGGAGGGGGCTCGTTTATGTCCCATGAAATGCCAGGAAAATGGAGGCAATTCCCTATTTGGTTCATGGTAGCTCAAAAATTGGGCTGCCCTGTTTCATACTTCAGGAGCCTGCAGAAATTCAGCTCTTGATATACATTGTGATATAAATCACTCTCTGAGCCAGGTATAATTTGAAATTATATCAAAATAAGATTAGAATTTGTTCTACGCACATCTTGTTGTTCTGTTTGTGAATCCAGGAGCTGAGCACTCCACAGTTGCCATAATTCCCCCTGTAACCAGCCCTGTGTGTCCTTTGAGCAGAGCAGCACTGCTGTCAGGGTTTGTGAGAACCCCCAGGAACATTAAGATGTTGCACTGAAGTGAAATTTGTGTCTCCATGCTGCTGGAATCAGATAATTCATCCCACTCTAACATCAAGGTCTAATTTAGCTGCCTTCTGATACTACCTGTCTCTGCATCAGAAGGGAAATGGTGTGGCTGTTTGGACTCAGCCCAGTGCATCCTAAATGGCACTGCCTGTGCTGAATCCCATCCTGAACAGAACAGCAATCCCTCTGCATTTCCACGTTTCCACAGGAGTCCAAAGGCACTCCAACTGTCCTGCCATTTGGTGTTAAATCCACCCTCTCCAGGTAGCTGATACCTGCAGCTCTTTAACATATTCCAAACTTTGGAGGCCATTGACAACTTTTGCCCAGCTCAGCAAGGGCACAGCAATGTCACTGACTCCCTGAAGGGTGGTTTCCAGCTGGAGAACTGTTTTTAGGTCTGGCTTGTCTTTAATCAGTACAATTTGGAAGATGTCAGTTGAAATAATACATGAAACTAATTTACAGTGTAGGAATGAGGAAGTAAAATACCAAGCAGCCGAGACTCAGAGCCAGGGAGAAGGTGCTGCCTCCTTGGTGAGCAGATAAATGGCTCATAAAAGGCCTCTAATGCTGATTGAAGTAGGTACCTCTCAAGTGCCCTGTTTTTTTGTGGCTTTGAGAGGTGTCTGGGGCACCAGCCCCTGTGCCAGGGAGGAACCACGGCAAAAAAACGCTCTCACAGTGTGTGCTGGGTGTGACCTGTGGGTCAGGGCAAAATCGCTGAGCTGGCACTTGGGCAGAGGTGTGGGCACAGCTCTGTGTAATCCCAGAAGGTGGAGAAGGGTCAGAATTATCCACCTGCTCGTGGACAAACGTCCTTAAGGGAAAGGTCTTGTTTCCCAGCTGAAGGAAACGTGTGGGAAGTTGGGGAAATGGGACTTTCTGCAGCCTCAGGAGTTAGAGGGGCTGTGAAAATGCAGCCCCGGCTTTAACCCCTCAGCACACCCCACTCGTGTGGTGTCTGCAGGGCTGGTTGGGAGGGCCGGTGCCAGCAGATGGCAGTGCCTGTCAGAGTTCCACCGTCAGGAAAACGGAATGTGCTCCAAAAAAGGTGTTATTGGCGCTGCATGAGGCACGGAGCCAGTCCCACGCGGGAGCCGTGGGGCAAACACTGCCCGCAGCAGTGGCCACGCCGTGAGCCCGCTCTGCTCCCCTGGGCCCCCTGTCCATGGCTGTGGACTCGGGATGTGTTGGATAAGTGTGTGTGGGAGGTGGGAAAGAAGACTTCTCCTTGCCTTGACCATGACACACCAGCTCTGCAGCCTTTCAGAGACTCTGCTCCTCCAGGGTTGCTGGCTGGACAGCACGAAAGGTCCTTCTCCATTTCCTAAATTCATTCTAAATCTTATTATAAATGAGATGAAATGAAGGAGGAAGCCGAGCTGAGGCCGTTCTGAAGGTGGCACTGTCCTTAGTGCTGCTGGAGCGGCATCCAGGGACCTGCTCTGAAAGCCAACACTGTGATTTTAGGGGGAACTGACTCTCACAGTGGATGAATTTACTGCTTAGAACTTTGTAAGGAAGTTTGAATGCTTATTAAAATACCCAAACTGTTAATGTACTCCCCAAATTGCAGTTTTATAACGTTATCATGGATACACTCCTAAAAGGTAAAACTAATACTGCTGCAAAGGCATCCGTGAGAGCTCGGAGCAGGCAGAAGATGTAACATAATTGCAGAGGATTTAATCAGCAGTTTATTACCAGGTCTTTTGCTTTCACTGCAAATGGTTTCACTGCTGATTTGGGTTCAGTCCTTGGAGCTGTTTGCAGCTAATGCTACAACAGGAGCCAGGCTGGCTGGGCTCATCTCACTGCCCACACCGTGCTCGAGTGGGAAATACAAACTAACAAGTGGAAAGGCAAAATTACATCTGCAAACCCAATTTTTAATGGCTAAGCTCGCTCCAGATTCTTGTCCCAGCTGGCCAGATCTAACCTCTGTGGTTGGTCTCCGTGAACTTGGACGTCATTTTCAACCTTAATGATTTTCTGATTCTGTGATTCCACATAAAGATCAGAGAAGAACTCTGATAAAAGGTGTGTGTTTATGGAGATGGGCTTCTTAACCCAGCCCCTAGGCAATATGATTATTCATAATATTCAAATCTCTGGTTATTTCTCTCTCTGTCTGTGCATTTCTCCAGTCTAGTTTCCATAATAAGGTGTTAATGTAGCCTAGAATTAACCTGATCAGGAACAGGTTTTATGATCTACAGGAAGCTCCACTAGTTCCATTTTTAACCTGTTCAAAAAAAAGGAATGCAAATAATAGGTTGCAAAATGTCCACGCAGTAAAACAAAAATGCCATTCCACTGCTGATGTATTTAATTAGTGATAGTGTAATTTAAAAAAAAGTAAATTGAAAATCATTCAAAGCAGAACGTGGGAAAAATAGCTTTAATATTCCAGCTATACCGACACATTCCTGCAGTGCTTTGGTTTTGAGAAGCTCTCTTTTCTTGACCAGATGAATCTGTGAAAGCATTTCTGATGGGCTGTAATGAATGTGGTCCCGGAGCAGAGAATTAGGGAGGACAGGAAGACAGGATCAGGGGAACAGGACAACAAAGCCTGGAGGCAACCTGCAGTCACCAGGCAGGTCTGGCTCATATCTGCTGCTGGCCTGACATTTGCTTTTCAGAAAAGAAAATATTTTACTAAGCTGAGGAGACAGTGTGGTATTATCAATGATAAAAAAAAAAAGGAGAAAAAAGAAAAAGATAAAAAAATACAGCAAAGCACTGAAGAACTTTGAGAGCATTCCCTGGATGAATCCCAGGAAAACACCACAACTCCATCAGCAAACACCACGGCAGGAGCTTGATGGTTGACAGGCAAGGGGAGCGTGCCAGAGGAATCATACTGGCCCTCTTTGTCCCCACTTTTCCCAAATTCCTTGGTCCAGCCTGGATGAGAGAGTTCCCCCGGTGCCGATGACTACGGACACACGTGGTCTCTGTGAAATGTGCGGCCTCCTCCTGGTTTTGGGAACTGCTTTCTGTTTGTGTGATTTTAAAAACACAAGAACACAGCCCCCACCCCCTCAAAACCGATATCCCCCCCAGTAAATCCGGGACAGGAGATCCCGGGAGGAGAAGGGAACTCAGCGCTCGGGGGAGTGCGAGGGGAGCGCAGCCCCCGCGGGTGGGACCCGAGGATGCCGGAGGTCTTTCCCAGCCCCAAAGCTCCTGTGATCCCGAGCTCCAGGGCTCGGATTCGCCTCTCCCCCTCCTCACCAGCCCTCCCCGCGCTCGGCAGCGCCCAAACCCCTCCCTCGCCCTCCCTCCCCACCTCCGCTCCGGCTCATTCACAACAGATAAGGCGCCGTCACACGCAGCCTCCCCTCCCTCCCCTCTGCCCCAGCCCTTAAAAAGCTTTATACCGCCAACAATCCCTTGGAACGGGAGAGGCGGGAGCAGGGACAGGCAGGCAGAGGAGAGGCAAAAGTATCTCCGCAGCAGCGGAGGGTTTGGAGCAGAGCAGGGAAATCAGGGATACCCGGGGACAGGGGCGTGGGCATCCTCATCCTCAGTGCCACGTAAATGTTCTCTCCTGTCAGGGAAGGAGGCAGGAGGCAGCGCGGGGACCCGAGGACGAGCCCAGCTCGCCGGTGATGGCATGGACCGGCCGCTGCTCCAGCCGTGCTTCCCACGCCCCGCTCCCGCCCGGCTGCCCCCGAGGGCGCGACACTGATGCGGAGCCGCTCGTAGCGAGTAAGTCACCGCATTTCCTTTGTTATCCCAGCTCCCTCCTGCGCTCCTCTGGCTGCCAAGGACCGGGAGCACAGCAGGCAGGAGGACTGAGGTGAGGTGTCGGGTCAGCCGAGCGCCAGGCTCCCCAAACCCGCCGCGGTGGGAGCTGGAGCTGTGCCGCTGTCCAACTCCCCAGCGCCAGGGAACTCTGTGGGAAGCCAGGAATGGGATGTTGGTCTTGGGCAAAAGCACCGTCAGATCTCAGAAAGGGATTCTGCAGGAATACACGTTAAAAAATCCGACCTGCTCGGGATAGTGGAGATCACTGGAATGCAAAGGGCACCGGGAGACTGATAAGTCAGCAGCCCTGAAATGCATGGAGTGACTCCATAATCCTTATCTGGAGTCAAAGATTAAATTCTTTCATAATTAGGATACTTGCCCATGAGCTGAGAGTTTAAAGAGCCCTGGCAGCGCAGTCTCCAGCCGATGAAGGGGCATGTTCAGCCCTTGGAGGGGACAGAGAATGTATTGCACTGGGAATCCCTGGGGGGTTCATAGCTCTGGGAGGTAAAACATGACCGATTTTTTTATCCATGTCCTGTTGCATCCCTCACAAAGATGCCTGGAGCCCTCCACTTTGTGTCAGCACATGCTGGGTGGGAGCCCCATGCTCGCTTTTGTACAGCTCCCTTGGTTTTGACTGGAGAGTTTCAGGAGCCAATGAAGAACTGGCAGAAAGTGGCCCTGTCCCAAAAAACTTGCCATCTGAGGATTCTGGCATCACGCAGGTCCTTCCTCCTACCTCGTTTAGGTAGAGCTGGGGTTTTGTAGCAGAGCAGCTGAGAGGGAAACCAAAGTGGCTTCTCTCACTTGTGCTCTGACCAGTCCAAACCACCAGCATCTCCTGTGGCAGATGGGGAGAGTGTTTGTGCTGGGGGAATATTCTCCATCTCTGGAAATTTCCAGCCCAATTATTTGCCAAAAAAAGGCAAACAGAGTTTTGGAGTCATATTCTGAGGCAAATCTCCAGACTCTTTATATAAGTCACCCACTTTCTGTTGGGTTTGAGGTCAGGAGAGGCCCTTGGACGTGTGGGGTGAGCACTGGCACTGCCCCAGCAGTTTGTGTGAGGTTGGTTTGTCTCTCTGTGACCCTTGTCTGCAGTGGCTTGAAGGCCTTGGGGCAAAAAGAGCCTGTGTTTGGTCAGTTCATCTGTGAACTCTTTGGATGCAAGGTGCTGGGGAAGTGTGAAGGGGTATAAACAATTTTATTGTATTTTTTTAAGGCAGCTGCCAATTACAGAGTGATTCTCAGGTGCTGTAATGGTGAATTCCTAAACAGTGGAGAACAGGAATTTTTGTGCTCTTGAGGCAGAATTTTCCCTTAAAATCGAGGTTCTGCTTTCCCCAGTATTCACAATGTTTGCTGTGTGCAAACAGCAGGAGAGACAGGAGTGTCTTATAAGGACAAAGGTGTCTCTTTTTCTTTGTTCAGTGTTGGGTGAAAGACAACAGTCACATTTTCAGTGATGCCATAAGGTGCCCCTAAAAATAGAGACTGGGGTGAGAGGCCAGAGACAGAGAGGCTGCAAAGTGCCTCAGGCAGAGTCACCCCCTTGGAGGTGGAAGGATCAAATTGGTTTATTTTCAGGTTTTATTTGTTGGTAGAGAAAATATCTGTTCTAACTTAAGAAAAAGACCTAGGAGCATAATATTGTGATTGCATCCTTTGCACAGGGACTTTTTAATGCAGTGAAGTATAAGGTAATTAACTGAGAGTTACCTGGATTTTATCCTCCCATCCACCCTATGCAGTTGTGGCTCAGCAAGTTGGAGATACCTTTTATCCTGTAGAAACTCCCATGTTCTCCAGTCCTTGTGCTGTAACAAGTTGTTAAAGCCTGTACACTGGGATCATTATGGCAACTCAAAAGGCATTTTCTAATTTTCCTCTCTTTTTTTCTGTAAAAAAAACCTACCCCAGTGCATCTTCTCATCAGTTTAGTTTCTCCAGTCTTTTCTGCATAGGTCTGAAGTTATTATATTTGAGGCAATTGTGAGCTTGTGTTATCTGTGGGATTTTTTATGCTTCAGTCCATAGGTGAGGGAAAAATCTATTTGAAATCTGTAGAGAGAACAGAAACTGTCTTTCTTGGCACTAGAAATAATCTTCCTAGTTATTCATGCTGATAGATCAGGCTGGGTAGGCTCTGCAGAGCAATCTTTAGATACACCTGAAGCACGCAGGGACTGTATTCACTGCTGCTGGAGTGGGGAAAGGAGAAAAGAGTTTTGCAGTGATTACAGGAACTCATTTAGGATTTTGGAAATGCTACATTTAATTCCCTGCCCTACCACAGACTCCTAATATGAGTCTGGAAGAAGCATCTTTGTGACTGACTTCCCCATCTTGAAATATGGGATATAGAGCATTTCCTTATCCCACAGCTCTTGATAAATACATAAATAAAATTTGTAAGCCTGTGATACCTGTGTTGAATACTGGGAAACACTTGGATACTCTGGGGTTGGAAGGGTCCCACTAGTACCTCAAAAATGATAATGAAAGGGCTCAGGGATATTAGAGCTGGGACTATCCAGCATTGCTGGGGAGAAGGATGGATTGGGAGGTAATTAGCAGGTAAAATTAAAGTACAAATGCCCATGGACTCTTTCTTTGTGTCATATTAGCTCCCTGGCCAGAGGGAGTTTGTTTGGAAAGACAGAACACCTTCTGTTTGGGTGTTTTTGAGCCAAATGGACTCTGGGCAGACAGGAGCCATCGGCAGCCCAGCTCTGGGACAAGCACAGAGTCCTCCTGCTCCAGGAGGACCATCAGTCACCCAGTTTGGCTACTGGGGGGGTCTCCCCCAGCCTTTGTGTGATGAAAGCAGAGGAACTCCTTTGTGTGATGAAAGCAGTGCCAAGACACCAAAAACCCAGAGGAAATGAGGGCCATCATCCCACCTCCGTGCTGAGTGAGGTTATGAACAGGAAATATTGGGCTGAGGAAGCTTTTGAACCCTGTTTATTGGTGAAGTGCCCCAGGTCTCCCTTCCTGTGCAGTTTCTTTCAATCTTTTGCCCTAGTTTTGAACAGCAAATTTGTTCTCAGCCTCTCCTCCACCTGTAGATCTCCAGGCACTTCCCAAAGAGGCACCACCACAACCTCTGTTAATGTGAAGTCAGAAAACCAAAAGATTACATGATTTACACAAAATTTACCTGCCTTTCTTCTTGCATGTGTCAAAAGGTGTTGGTGGTGTTGACTGTTCCATCTCAGTCACACACAGGCAGGAAATAAAAGTAAATAAAAGTAAATAAAAGTAAATAAAAGGATAGAGGGAAAGGTGCCTTTCTCAGGGAAATCAAAGCCCCACCTAAGTCACTACCTGTCTAACAGTCATTTATCCTCAGGGTGTCAGAGGCCATTTTTTCCTAAGATTTCTTCTTCTTCCTTCATCTTTCCACTACCACTCAGTGTTCAACAGGCAACTCCTTTATTCTCTTTGGGTGCTGCTGCTTTCCTTTACTTTATTCTTCTGCCAACTTTCCCATATTATCAGTGTCTGCCAATTAAGAACTTCATTCCCTTGCAGCAGTGTAACCCAAAGAAGAATTATGTGGCCCAGAGGAACCTGGGCACAGGAACGTTGTCTTTGTTTGATATGGTGTGGGCCAAAGGGCAGCAAAACAACCAGGTCAGATTTTCCAGTAATATCTGTTTAGTATAATTGATTGTTTGTTGAGTAGTACAGGGCTCATTGTCTGGAAAAAAAAAAAAAGATGACAGAGTTAAGTAAAATTCTGTTTTGGGAAGGTGTGGGAGGTTTGCTAAAGAACGGTTGATCAATTATTCTCATAATGAGAGAAAACACAGGCATCAGGTTTAAAAGAAACAAAAGAAGACTGTTTTTATACAAATTCGATGACAAATTCATGTCTTTAAACTCCTCCTGCCTCCAGTTTAGTCCTCTCCAGTAGCAAATCCTATCCCCAGTTAAACTGATTTTCAGTTCAGCGAGATCAGAGATGGTTAAAGGGAAAAAGTTGCCCTGGTCAGCAGGGAAAAAAGTTTCTTGCAGAATTTTCGTGTTTTACCTTCTGTGATGTCTTCAGCAAATTGCTGGAGCTGTCAGGAGGCACCTCAGCTCTGCCAGGCAGGGCTTGGAGCAGCTCTGCCAGAGGTTCTCCCCTAAGCCCAGCCTGACTCTCCTCAGCAGATCTGAGAGCCCTAAATGTCACCACCGGCCCTGCTCTGTCATCTGGACAGCAGCTCAACAACAGGCAGGCTGATAAAGAGCCTCTCTGCCAGGGTGATAATGCACTGACTCACAGCTCCTTGGGCAGCAGCCCGTCCTCAAGGAAGGCAGCTTTGTAAAAAGTGACATTTTTATTATCCTGGCCTCGTTTAACCAAAGATGGGAAATGCCAGAGGAACAGGACGGGGGGGCGTGGGGGTGACTGGAAGAGTCAATTTGGCCTCATGGATCTCTGTGTTGAAGGGGCAGGGATTTATAGACTGCAGGCTTAGTCTTTGGGAGATGCTGGCACATATTTCCCATTTTGTGGGAAAGATGTTTATACTTGGCAGCAGTGGTAGTTTATTACATGGGGAAGGAGTTAACCAAGTCCTTACAGTGCTCCTTTTGGAGCATCTTGTCTTGTGTGCTGAAGTTTCCAGGGCAGTTAAAATAATAATAAAGGAATGACAGCAAATTTCCTTGGCCTGGGATCTCACAGACTGTTCAGGCCCATATCACAAATTTTACCATTGGGGAATTAAAGTAGAGGGGAAAGCAGTGATTTGCTCAGAATTAGAGAGAAAATACTTTTGGAGAAAATCATTTGAAGCAGAGAGCTGGCTGGTGTGCAGCCACCCAAAGCTGTGCTCAAACTGCTGACCAAGATCATTCTTTTTAAAGAATCTAATGCAAAAATTCAGCTGCTCAATTATTTCCAGTAACCACACACTGAGGTTACACTTCTCGTACGATGGGAGAGTTTAAGATTCAACATCAGCAGGAATTGTGTTGCCACTGAAGCCGCCAGCGAAGTTCTTACCCAGCAGGAATGTTCCTGCTTTAATGGATCACTTGTAAGGTGTTCCTGAAGGTTTCCAGAAAGATTTCAGTTGCCCTGTTGCTGGAGATCAGTAGCACTGCAAAAGGGATGTTGCCAGTCCTTGGACTGTTTAGTCAAAGCAGGTTTCTCTGTACGTTCATTAAGGGGCAGTTCCTCTTGCCTGCTCCACCAGAGTGATATTTCCAAGGATTTAGGCTTTTGGACTGTTTTTATTCTGTTCTTTTTAATATGTTTTCAGATCCTTTTGGTCTCTTTGGTATGAACATAGAAGATGAAACCTTACGCTAGATTAATATCTTGAAACTGCTTTTTCTGTCTTAGTGTCAGTGAAACTCAGCTTCAAACATAACTTTTATAATAAAATTATCTTTAAAGCAGTCCTTTTAAAATTGAAAACATGCTGCACTTGCCTGGTTTTACATTTAGATTGATTAAAAGCTTTTTATCCAAAAGGAGTAATTTTAGATTAATCAATCAATGCAAACATATATCAAGAGGGATCTTCACAAGAGGAAAGCAAAGAGGTTCTTCACTACCTGATTCCTTTTCAGGCAGAGGATGGAAGGCTTCTTTTCCTATTAAAGAGGGGTAAAAAAGTGTGTGATTGTTCTGCCATGTGAAGTGAGAGTCAATATCATTATTGATACTAATTATTTGACAGGTAGTTATTATTTGACAGATAGTTACTGTTTGACAGCCTCTGGCAGGCACTTTACAGGTGTGTGGGGACAAACACCACTGTGCAGAGGGGCCAGGAGATTCCCATTGCAACAGGTAGTGAAAAAAGATGTGTCTAAATCCCCCATGAGCCAGCTCTGGGGAGTCCTGCCTTCAGGAGGGATGGAAACAGAGGTGGGGGTGAATACTCTGTCCAAATCCTTGGTGTTGCTGTTGGAGAAAGGGAACACCCAGCACTGGGGTTATCCGGGATCACTGCAGTGGGGTGGCAACCTAATCCCTCCTAACTGACTATCCCAGCACCACTGATCCCTATTGTTTCCCCCTTCCTGTGGCTGCACAGGCTCAGCCCTGGCCCAGAACCTTCTGAGCAGGCAAATGTGCCAGCGGGCAGCAGCTCTGGGGCTGGGCTGGGACAGATGGTTGGGCTCCTGTGAGCAGGGCCAGCGGGGATGGTTCCAGCAACCGGCTCCGGCTGCTTCCTTGGAGTCACGATTGATGGTGACTTATCCAAGGGCTCAGAGTAACTCCTTGCTGTTAACCAGACTTGGCTGCAGCAGAATGGAAGTGGAAATTTGTTGCCTCATTTATTCATCCTGCCTCTGCTTCCTTCCCGCCCACCCTTCGTGCTTTTTAATACCGAAAAGATGAAGCTGCTTTGCTCGGTCTTAAAATTGTCTTTCCCAAGATACTCTTAATTGTAGCTCTACACCTTTTCTCATTCACAGGAGCATAAGAAGATTAAAGATAGAGGGAGCAGTAATAGATTTAGTTAGGTTTTAATAGGATTTGCAGAGGACAATGCAGAGAATGAACGCCATAGAAAATATTGCTGCTCTATCTTTGATATCCCTAAGGCTGCTTGGGGAGTCTTTGATGGAGATTTTGTCTGTGCCCTGCATCCAGAGTCAAGATTCTCATTTTTTAAAGGAGTATCTAATCATCTTAGTAAACAGGATGTTACATTATAACCTGCAAAAATCATTGCAGCCATCATTTTGTGTTATTTATTTGTGTCTCTGCAAGCAGAATTCTGCATGTGGGCAGTGGGATTTTAATAAGTGCCTGGTGATTCTGTCTAATGTCAGGGGTGAGTTCTGAGAGATCCCACTAACAGCAGGCCTGGATCCATCACACCTGCCCGTGTGGAATTCCAGATGTTCCATTCAAGGTCTGGTTCACATTTGAAGCCCTGGCTCACAGAATAAACTTCAGAAATCTGAATTATCCCTGGAGACGCCTCTCTCTGCTGACTCTGAGGGAAACCTTCATGCATAATTTAGACCTGTGGTGAGGTTTAGGATGACAGTGGTGCTCAGCATTTTCTGTTCATTCCTAAGGTTTCTCTTGATATGCACCTAAAACCTGAGGCATCAAAAAACTCCAGTCCCTCTTGAACAGACGTGTTGATGTATCTTGACTTTGTTCCTAGTTCTGATCTCAAGCAAAGTTTGTGTGCAAAAAAAACCTAAGGAAGAAAAATATCCCAAAAAAATGTTACAAGGTTTAACTATTTCCTGACTCCCAACCTTGCCCATCACCAGATTCTCTCAGGTTCCAGGAGTGACTGGCAGCTCATTGATGTTTGAAGAGCCTGTGGATAATAAATCACTATTTAACTTCACAGCATTGTATTGATTTAGATTTAGATTTATTATATTTCACAGAATCGGAGAATATCACAGAATATTCTGTGCTGGATCCACAAGGATCATGAAATCCAGCTCTTAAGTGAATGACACACCCAGGGGATTGAACCCTTGACCTTGGTGTTATTACCACCAAGTTTTAACCCACAAAGCTCATCTCAGGGTCATTATTTATATATTTATATCCTTAAATGTATTTATTATATCTGCATATTTGTTATATTATTTATATAATTATTTATATATCTACATATTTGTCATATTATTTATATATCATTGTTCATATTTTATATATTTATTATATTTATATATGTGTTGTATTATTTATGTAATTATTTGTATATAATGATATATAATTAATTACACATAATACAATTATATATATTATCTATAGATATTATAGATATTATAGATATTATATATATATTATCTATATATAATTTATAATCCATATTATAGATATTATTTTATATAATTATTTGTGTATTTATTATATTTATATATTTGCTGTCTTATTTATTTACATTTATTATATTTATCTTAGCAGCATTATATTTAACTAGTGGCTGTAGGGGGAGAAGAGCTGAACCCTCTCAAAGTGTTTCCCAGAACAAGGTCTAATGGTTCAGACAGTGACACAAAATGGGGTTTGTCTCAGTAATTTTCCTTCCGTCTTAGACCGCATTTCTTTGTCCTGCAGCCCAGCCATGGCTGGAGATTCCAGGATCTTCATGAACCAGGACATGGACATCGGGGTGACCTCCAGGGAGCCCAAGAAGATTCCCAAGCAGGCTCGGGACGATGTCCCCATCGCCACCGACCGGACGCGCCTCATCTCGGCCGAGGGGAAGAAACCCCGGCAGCGGTACATGGAGAAGAGCGGCAAGTGCAACGTCCACCACGGCAACGTGCAGGAGACCTACCGCTACCTCAGCGACCTCTTCACCACGCTCGTGGACCTCAAGTGGCGTTTCAACCTCCTGGTCTTCACCATGGTCTACACCATCACCTGGTTGTTCTTTGGGTTCATATGGTGGCTCATCGCCTACATCCGGGGAGACCTGGACCACCTGGAAGACGAGAACTGGATCCCCTGCGTGGAAAACCTCAGCGGGTTTGTGTCCGCGTTTCTGTTCTCCATCGAGACGGAGACGACGATCGGTTACGGCTACAGGGTGATCACGGAGAAGTGCCCCGAGGGCATCGTGCTGCTCCTCATCCAGGCCATCCTGGGCTCCATCGTCAACGCCTTCATGGTGGGCTGCATGTTTGTCAAGATCAGCCAACCAAAGAAAAGGGCTGAAACCCTCATGTTTTCCAACAATGCCGTGATCTCCATGAGGGACGAGAAGCTCTGTCTCATGTTCCGGGTTGGAGACCTCCGCAATTCCCACATTGTCGAGGCTTCCATTAGAGCCAAACTGATTAAGTCCAAACAGACCAAAGAAGGAGAGTTTATTCCCCTGAACCAAACGGACATCAACGTGGGATTTGACACTGGAGACGACAGGTTGTTCCTGGTGTCACCTCTGATCATCTCACACGAAATCAATGAGAAAAGCCCCTTCTGGGAGATGTCTCGTACCCAGCTGGAGAAGGAGGAGTTCGAAATTGTGGTCATCCTGGAAGGAATGGTGGAAGCAACAGGTAAGGATCTGTCAACAATCAGTCACAGTTTTGAGGGGGGAAGGGGTAAAACGAGGTGCAGTTTGGCAGAAAGATTTTACTGCCAGTGTCACCTGGACTGAGAACAGGGTCCTTTGTCCCTCTTAGGTGGGATGTTGTGCTCGAGATAACCCACTGAAAGATGGGTCCTCCAGCTCCTGTTGCAGTGTTTCACCCTCCTTTTGTAAGCCTGGGATTCAAGCGAAGAAATCAGTTGTGGAGCTGCCCATAATCACTTAGAATTGATCCATGGGAAAAAGTAACGGATTAAAGGAATTCCTGAGGTCTCTCATGGTCCTGTTTCCTGTGATCAAAATTCATGGCACAAATCTTTTCCCATTTCTCCTCTGTATTAATAATTGGCTGTAACTGTGCTATTTTAGGTATTGCTGTGGTGTTGCTTTTTAATGGAGGCTGTGAAGTGTCCCAAGTCTTACTGTGTCCCATAAACCAGCACGTGCTGGAGCTGAATGACTTGCACGTGGTGCAGGACACATATTCGCAAAAGGAGCTCAAAGAGGAAAAATACAGAAACTGCTGTTGTGCCTCTTGCAGCCCAGCAGCTGTTTAACAGCTTAACCAGAGCTGTGTAATGGGCAGATCAGGAGATCTCCTCAGCCCGTTCCCAGTTTCCTCCTAGGGGGGTGCTTGTGGCAGGTGATGAAAGGAGGCTGTGTCCACGTACAATAAATCTGGAAAAGTGCTGGGCCTCAGCTTTCCAGAGTGTAGAAAGGTGGGTGAGTGCATGGATGGCCACAGGGGCCTCCAGGCTCCTTCCCACAGGGACCTCCCAAGCTCTGGGGTGGGAGGAGGGTGGCTCTAAAAGTCCTGGCATCATGAGGTCATTTCACCTCTTGCAGCCCATTCCCTTGTTCCAGGGGTGAGGAGGAGCTGGCAGCTCTTCTTGCTGCTCTTCCAGCATGGGGAGGGTATTTAAACACCCTGAGATCCTTCACGGAGGACTTCCAAGCCCGGGGTGCCTCAGTGGAATCAGGGACTGGAAGGGGAATGTCAGGCAGCTCTGAGAAGGGAAGTGCTGTCTAAAGATGGGGAAACGTAGAATCAACAATCAGTCCCAGTTTTGAGGAGGAAAGAGGTAAAATGAGGGCAGTTTGGCAGCGAGATTTTACTGTCCATGTCACCTGGACTGAGAACCTCTTGGGACAACATCCTGTGACTGAGTCAGGTGGGAAGTTGTGGTCTGAGGTAACCAGCAGTGGCAGATGGGTCCTTTAGCTCCTGGGGCAGTGTTTCAAACTCCTTGTACAAGTCTGGGATTCAGGCAAAGGAGTTGGTCATGGAGGTGCCCATAATCACTTAGAACTGATCCGGGGAAGAAAAAGGAAGCTGCAAAAAGCTTTTATAAGCTGTTTTCCCCCTTGGTGCTTGAGTATTTTAGTTTTGAGGTGGCCCTGTGAGCCCAGGGTGGTGCTTGGATTTTTTTTTCCATCTCGGTGAGGTTCCCTCTGAATGACTAGCAAGGGTTTTCAGCTTGGTACAAGTACTTGGAGGTGTCAGCACCTTGTCTCACAAATTCTGGCCTTTGCTTACTATGAATATTATTCTCTTCTTGAGATTTGTCCTTGTTAGGGTCCTAACAGCCTGAGGAAGGGAAGTCTCTCAAATTCCTGCATCCCAGACTTTTGCTTTTAAAGACAGAGAGAGCTAATTCAGTGTCCCAGTATCTGGCTTTAGTTAGGAGGTGATTAGGACTTTTCCAGAGAGAGCTACTGGGAGATGATACAGAGGTTACCCTGCACCAGGGCTGGAGTTTGCTCTGCAGAAATGGAATTTATCTGGCACTGCCAGGCAAATGTTCTCCCCCAGCAGAGCACTGGCAAAAGAAGGGGTGGGTGGAAAAGACTGTCAAAGGCAAAGATTTGTAATGGCAGCTTATCTGGGAGCCTGAACATTTGCTAGAGACCAGAACCTCCTAATCTGAGCATGGAATGTTGCTGGTTTGTCCAAAGCCTCTTTCCTCGTCACACAGTGACACCATAAATTCTGTTTGAAGCCCTTTGCTCTCAGTGAAGCTCAGCCTGTGTGAGAGGAAGTCATTATCAATAACAACCTCGGAGTTAAAAGCATGGCATAGGAATAACATTGCCTTACAAATGGGCTCCTGTCCCAGAGGGATTGCACATATCTGTGCAAATGAGTTACGCTGGGCTCAGCCAGGCTGGGGAAGGAAAAATTGGAGCTGGAAGAGGCAGTTTGCACTGAACCCAGAGCTGGATGGACCTCAGGTGATCCCGTGAGCCAGTTCTGAGGCTGGGACGGGCTCTGAGGGCCATATGGCAGCTGGGCAGGGGGGGTTGTCACAAGGAGAGTCTCTTGCAGAGACTGTTTGTGCCTTCTTGCTTCATCCTCACACTTGGGAATACCGATAAAGCACTTTGGGGGATATTAATCCCGACTTTTATACCTTAAAATCTGCTCCCGCAAAATTCTTTAGGTTCTTCCCTTCCCATGTCACTGTGCCAGCCCCATCTGCTCCCAGGGATGGTGTCATGTACTCACAGCAGGACTGCTGTTAAATCATGATACTCTTACAGCCTGGGCTGGGTCAGGGCAGTATAAAAATACAGCAGATCATTTGTTTCCTTAAATCAGGATCCACCACCACAGGGTTCCCTGTCAGGATATCTAGCTCCATTCATGGGGCACAAGAGGCTGTGAGTCCTGTGTGCTCAGCTCTGCACTTGTGGGCAGGAGTAAAATTAATGGAAACTCAGTCCATGTGTACAGACAACAGCAAATCCCACCATAAATGCAGCCAGTGCTGGGGGCAGACACAGCTGTATTTTTTATAAGGTGTTTTGGAAGCAGGTCAAAATGGTGATTGGCAACATGTAAATGACAAGAAATTTAAGTGTGATGTCTTGACTAAAAGTGTGAATACTTTTCACTGATAATTCGAGACAGCAATTTTATAACTGTTTTCAATAGATTTAACCAGCCACACACATATTACAAATGAAATGTATCATCTCTTCTCAGGGTAGCTCTATTTACTGACATTTAAGTTTAATTCTGACCCAGTGGAAAGCAAAGACAGTAAATAGTTTCAAATGAAAAGTGTAGAGTTAATTCTGAGGAGTTCACACCCTTCAAGTAATTGGTCTTTTTGTTTGTTTGGTTTTTTTTTCAAAACAAAACATTGTGGTTTAAAACAATGTTTTTGTTTTCAAGTTGACTTGAATTTTCAAAAGCCTGAATAACAACACACTGAAGAACAGCAGCACAGCAGCCAGGCGAAAATGTGCTGTTGTTATTTTGCTGGAAAACACAATAAACATTGTGTTATTGTAGTGGGAGTTCTCCAGGGACACAGAGCTGCTCCCACAAAACCAGCTGTGGCACAAAGGCCATGGATGTGGGTCTTTCCCATCAATATTTGAGTCTGGGTGAGGCACTGGGAGTCCCCAGGAGGATATAAAAGGCCAAAGGGGGGGTAGTTTCTGGGCAGATCTGTTGGGATCATTGCCCAGTAAAAGGGGCACTGTAAAGACAAGCTCAACATCAATGACCCAATGTTCTGATCCCAGTGCTGCTCCTGGGCAGCAGCACCACTCCCAGAGAATCCTTAATGGGCTGGGCCAGGGATGACTCCAGGGAATTCACTCCCTTTGGCCTGAGCAGAAAGGGACACTTGGCCAGTTCAGCTGCCCCAAATCTACCCTGCAATAAAAGGGAGTGAATGGACTCCTGATGCCACTGGCTGCAAACAAAATCTTGGAGCCATCCTGTGGAAGGAGCAGCTCCAGGTGCTGTCAGCCAGAGCTCTGCCCTTCCCTCCTGATCCCAAATGGGACAGGGTATGCAAAGCAAAGCTGCTGAGACAGGCAAGAGCAGGAGAGATTCAGACCCCCCCCTCCCTGTGATACAGAGTCAACTGGGTTGTGATGGGGAATTTGGCTCATCCAATTAGAGAGCCCAAGTTTTTAATTATTGTTTTCTTCTATAAGTCATCATACCAGGTGATGACATGCTCTGCAGATCCTACAAGACATTCCCTTCCCTTCCCTTCCCTTCCCTTCCCTTCCCTTCCCTTCCCTTCCCTTCCCTTCCCTTCCCTTCCCTTCCCTTCCCTTCCCTTCCCTTCCCAAACCTTCCCAAACCTTCCCAAACCTTCCC